CTATTTTTTCATTTCCATGCCTCAAATGCCTCTTGGTCTCTCCTATGCTGAGCCGAGTTTCTTGCCTCAGGCTCGGCCATGACTTTAGTCAATGGCTCAACAACATCTTGTTCTTCCAAAATATATGACACCTTATGATGCTAGATATCCCAGTTATCCCCATTTAATTTGTCACCCTTATTCAATTCAACGATAATACTTTTTGTTGCCATTCTTAGTTCTGAGATGAAACTATCCCACATTAATAATTTACTATATTAAACCAAGAATAAAATACTTATGAGAAACATACAATGTCTTATATTTGTATTATTCTTTATTAGAGTGATAACAACTCTATTAGGTCAACGATCAGGAGACTACGTTTGTATCTCCCATCACATTGATTCTAATAAAAGCACTATCATCTATAAAGAATTTTACAAATATTTTAATTGTTACATATGGCTCATAAATGATTTATCACTTTAGAGCTTCCACTCAAATAAAGTATATATAAAGCAATTAAACATAAAACAACATGCTTCATATATTTCATGAATTATCAAGGTCTTAATATAGCATAAAAACAAATTCTTGGAAGAACAGAACAATGCTTAAGGTACAGACCTAAAAAGACAACTCTTAATTATGTCTTTATATTTTTCTTGTACTTTCATCCCCTTGATGGCTCTATTCCATAGAGGATTTCTAGAGTACAACTTGTTTCGCTTGTTATGTTGCACAAGCTCCTTCTTAAGTTGTTTGAAAATTTCTCTGCAACCACGGCTTGTTCTTCTTTCATTATGAAGCTTGAATATGCTCTAATTATTGGAAAAATTTGATCCAATTTTTTTATTCTTTTAGCTTCTCTTTTTGCTATATTTATTATCACTGAGGGTGTGAAAGGTTATTCGACATCTTCATTTTCATTTTGAACATTCTCATCACCCTCTGATTCATGTTTTGGTCTTGACAGCATGCGCACTTTTTTCGGTCCTTCCGATACATTTTCAAGATCAATATTGGGATCTTCTTCAAAGTCAGAATCAGAATTCTCACTTTGATGTTCATATTCCTCCTCCTCCTCTTTGAAGGGTTCCAAGTCAGAATCCTCACTAAGAGGCTCATAATCTGGTTTATCCAAATACTCAATGCTGATAGAATAATTTTTTGAGTTATCAGTGCTACTAGAAGCCTCTTACTTCATATTTTCCTTGAGAAAAAAATAATAAAACAAAAAAATTTAGAAATATTATTGTAATTATTTTTTTAAAAACTCATAAAAAAAGCACTAGATAACACAAAAAATAAATTCTTATTGTATCTCAAAAAAAATGTAAATTATATATCAAAATGAAGATCTCAAACTTAGGAATTTTTTAAGACAAATTTGGTCCCAATCTGATCTAACACGCGCCGGCACACGCCCCAAGAAGGTGCTGGATCAAGAATTTTTTTTTAAAATTTAAAATGCCACTCTCGGGGAGGCACGTGCTATACACGCGCCACCTTATTTGTCTCAGTCGATGTCACACGCCACACCATCATTCCCCACGCGCCACCAGCTTCATGATGGGGTCATCCATGCGCCGATTGAGGTACCTGGTGGTCCCATGCGCCACGTGTCCTCTTAATATTTTTTTAATTAAATAAATTAAAAATATATATATATATATATATTTTTTTGAGTTTGGGGCTTCTGGGCTTATAGCCTAGAAATATTTTTTTTTGGTTTGGACTTCTGGGGTTGTAGCCTAGAAATCTTTTTCTTTTAGTTTTGACGACACGTCAAAACGACGGAAATGACGCGTCATTTTTGTCATCGTCTTCCCCCAACCGAGTCAACTTGACCCGGTTCCTCAGGCGGGTCGGGTCCGTCGGAGCCGAAAACTTCCAGAGGCCATATCTCCTTCGTCCAGTCTCCGTTTTATGTGTTCTTGGTGTCGTTTTCTTTGTTTTTTCGAGCTCTACACGTTTATGCAATTCTTTTGTTCAAAAAACTCAATTTTTTAAACACCCATTATTTGGTTTGTTTTCAGTTGTGCTTGTCACTATTGATTGCATGCAAAACGTGTATAACCATCTATGGAACGTTCATATTAATAAGAAGCATATTCACATGTTCATTTTAATAGTGATAATGTTGAGTTGGATAGAGAAAGATTGAAGCGTAAACATAGTAAGAAAATAAAAAAATTAAACTTAGAGATTTGCGTGTATAGAGTTAAGCAAATCATTATCAGTTCTTTAGACATAGGAAACACAACCCAGGAAAGACAAAAGCTCTAATACCAATGAAAGAAAAGTGAGGAGGAAAAACATACCTCGAGTCGTTAATTCACACGTACGTATGCAGGAACAAAGTTACACCAGTCGAACTTCATTCAGATACACAGCAAACATACTCAGAGAGAAAAAAAGCTTGTAAGGAGATAAATGAGATGGATCAAAATCGAGAGCGTTCTGTTTCTTTCTTCATCCAGAGAACCAAAATCTGAACCAACTGAAACCTCACCCATAACTATCTCTTATGGGAACATGCGATAGTTTCTCTAACCGCCCATATTTCAAATTCAAAGGTTAGAGAATATTACTTTTTAAGACCCTGAGTAAATCGCATTTTGAACCCAAACACTTTTCATAATTCTCATAAGAGCCTCATTCCCAATTTAGGCTTTTATATGGGCCTGATCCACCAAGGGTGGATAACCCAACAGACCTTTTCTTTCAACTATTGCCTATTGTTTTTAGGGCTCCTTCTCCTTAGCACTCATTTTTTTCCATGCTTGTCCAACATCTTTATCAGCCTCTTAGAAGGAGTGGAACTTTCCCACATTCTCTTTAGGGAATTCTTTTCTGAATATCTTGTATCCAGTGACTGCCTCTTGTTGTTTGTAGTGCTTCTTTTTTGCTTTCTTGTCCACCATTTTTTTTTGTATCCCTATAAAGATTTACATTTAAGTTATTTATACCAGTATCACTTGTTAATTTCCTATATTAGACTTGTTAATTTCTTAGGTTTACATGTTACTGAGCTTTGTACAATATACAAACCAATAAACAGACATTTTATTTAATATTACTTGTTAATATCTTATATTAGACTGGTTAATTTTCTTGTTACTATGTTTCATACAATTTACAAACCAACAAACCCACATATTATTCAACATCGTTTATTCCTATATCAAACTTGTTAATTTCTTAGGTTTAGTCATTATTATGCTTTATGTAATTTACAAACCAACAACGGGGATATACGTTATCATTCACATGCCTTAACTTTTCCATTCTTTAAAAATCAGGTAGAATTTCAAAACACATAACAAACAAGTAATGGTTGAAAACAAATAGACCCAACAAAGAGGGAAAATCCCTGCACTAAATAGTTTCCACCAATAAGGGAAAAATAACAATGTCGAACAAACTTACGCTTTTGCTGGAGATTAAGAGAAGGAAGAAAGATGTTGAAGCAAGATACCAACGAATGAGGATATTTGGGTCAGAGAAAGCCAAAAACAAAGGAGTTCAAAGCAATTCTAGCCTTCGTGCAGGTCCTTTAAGGCGAAAGTTGAAATCGGCAAAGACAAACTTCAAGTTAGTTCTTTTTTCTGAGGGAAAAAAGCGAAAATAAATCTAATGGAGATTTAGATATTCTCCGTCCTGCAAAAGAGACTTGGCTTTGAAAAACGGAAGCACGTCCAGCTAGGGGCGGAGCTAACACAACCATACTAATATAGTAACATTGACACGCTTGTGTTTATGTAATTTTATGGCTATTGCCATAGTATATGGAATAGAAACGACATTTATATACTTTTATTATTGGTTCATAATTAATATTAATTATTCATTTTGATACAAAATGAAGCTAAACTTATTATCTGTGGTTTTTTAAAATATTTGTATTTAATGCGTTAAAGTATATATTTATTCTTTTAATTTTATATAATATTTCATTTTGATCTTTTAATTTTATAAAAGATGTATTTTTAGTCTTCTAAGTTTAACACTACTAGTTTCATTGACAAAAAATTCTTACATTAAACTTTTAAATTTTAACAAAACATTCTCAAATGGTTAACCTATTAAGTTTAATTTTCTAAAAATAATAATAATTAACATAAAAAATTATCATTTGAAATTAATAATGCTATTTGACAAAAAAAAAACAATGTTAAAGTTAGAAGATTTAAAAGATATTTTATAAAATTAAAAAATCAAGCTAAATCTTTATATTAAATCAAAAAGTGAACAAATATATTGTACAGAATGTTTTTATATAAACTCTTCCGCCCCTGGAAACTTTCTGTGCCTCAATTCAAAAAAAAAAGAAAGCCCTCTACTATCACTAGAGGTGGTAATTTAGATTGAACCCAATGAGCTAGCCTGAATCTGTTCAAAAAAAGTTAAGCTCAGGCTTAAAAAAATATGATATTTTTATGTTCGAGCCAAGCCCGATCAGGTTTGGGCTTGGCCCGAATACACAAATAAAAATTTTTTTATTTTTATAAAATATATAAAATATAATAAATATTAATTAATTCTTTAAGTTTTAGGTCCTTTTACACTAAAATACCATATATTTAAATTCTATACATTATTTAAGTATTAAAAAAATATATTTTTATATTTTTTAAAAGTAAAATAATTAATTTCAAAGTAAAAAATTAATTAAAAATAATTTTAAAAATAAAATTTGAGTATTCGAGTTGACTGAAACCTAAAGGAATTTAAGTCGGGCTTAACTATTTGAATTTTTTAAAGAGTTGGGCTTGTTTGGATTCAGGCTTATTTAGATCGGGTTTGAATAAACTCGGCCTGTTCAAATTTTTAGCCCTGTCACACATGATTTGATCGTGATTTTTTAAATATTTAAACTAAAAATATTTGGGTCTTTTGATTATCGAAATTTCAGTTCTTTTGAATTAAAGTGAAATTTCAAATTTTAATACGCCTCATTTATAATTATATCACAACCCTAGTCTAGTCTTGTATTGAAATTCTCCCAAAAAAAATAAACTTTCAATCTGATGTTACTGTACCGTCGGCCAGATATCATCCTGCGCCCAGACCACGATCACGGAGATGCATGAGATCTCGTCCCTATCAGGCAACAGCCCTAGCCTCTCCCTTGCTTCACGGTCGAGCCCCCTTGCCCTTGGCCATCGAGCCTTCCACAGTGTTCACCGTTCACCTTGAATCTCCTCTTTTTCCGCCATTTTCAACCTGTTCGACGCCAAGCCATCATCCGCCTAGCCACGGTACTGTGTTGTTTCCATTCTCCATTGGCCATTTCAAATCTTCGTGCCTTCTTTACAGTTCCGCCATTTCTGTTCTGTTTTGACATCAATTAGTCTCGTTCTCTACTCACATTCTTCTCGCACCTTGTGACTCGTGAGCTAGTTTGTGTTCAGTGCTTCTCGCTTTCTTCAACGCCCCCAGTAAGTGTCGCTACTTTCCATCAATTTTTCTTGTCTTAGCATCTGGTATTGCTCGTGACTCAAAGCTAAATTACTGATAATTTATTTCCTCTGCTAACTTAGGCAACGTTTTCGCTTTCACCAGCTTGCGGTTTCGATGTGCGTACATCTCTCCCTATAATTCCTCGCTTTCAAATCGTTGAAGCCAGACCTTTTCATTTTTCCCTCTTAGAGGTAAAATTTTTGCTTCTTTCTTTGATCTTTTTCTTTTACAAGTTCTGTGATATTTGTTTGACTTGAAGTTTGCATTTTTGCGGATTGTGGACTGGAAATTCGCACTTTGCACTTTCGATTAAAGTTCTCTGGTTCTACCGCCAGTCTCTTATTCTCTGAGCTCGTGTGCTGAATATAGGGCTTAATTTGGTTATGGGTTGATTTGCAGTTTTGTTTACACCATATGGCAATATGATCGCCAATTGGCAATGTGATTGGCACTTGGCGATCTAGATTTGTAGTTTTTATAATTTAGCATATCTGCTCAGCTATTTGTGGTTAGTCGGTCTGTAGGCTTGGTCCTTTATTTGTGGAAAATAAATCTGGAGTTTATTAGGCCCCGTTTGGTTCCCAGGAAAATAGGCTGAGGAAAAGGAAAAGGAAATGGCATTTCCCTTTGTTTGGTTCGCAGGACTTTTAGCTTCTCCTAGTTATATTACTTGAGATATTTTATTATTATAAGTTGCAGGCAAATACACGGAGCATTAGCACTTAAGTTTCTCTTATATTTCCTTGATTGGTTAATAATACTTATCTTTTTTATGCTGTTTATTCTGCTTTAAGGTTTAGCTTTATCCCCTTGAAATCGTGTTAAATTTTGTCGAAGTTCTATATATGCAATTTATGTAGAGATTCGATTTGGGTTCCCATAGGGATATAACAGTCTGTAATATTGCAATTATTTTCATTACACTATATGACTAAATTTGCAAACTAGACCCAACTTTTGGGGATTACTTGGTGGATGGAGCAGAACGAATTTGGAGGTTCACGTGTGAAGTCTTCATCTCTTAGAAAGATGATGTGCTGCAACCAACAGTTAATTAGCAAAAGAAATAGTCTTAAACAATTTCAAAGCATTCTAGTGATATATTCATGCATGACCACAGCTGTGAGTAATTAGTTTTTTTAACTCTTGTAGATATCATATGAAGTGTTTTCCCGATAATAGTTAGTACTATACCTTTAGATGGGTGCAGTCAAGATTGCAGTCTGCTCCTTTTGTTCTCTTGCATCTTTTCATTAAAAGTGGAACTCCAATCAATTGTAGTCTTTGTAAATTATTGAGTGATAAGCCTTAGTCATATAGGTTTCAAATTACATTCTAAGCTACCTCCAATGCAATATAGTGGCAACCTTTATGATTAAGCTAAATTGAGTTTAGAATGTGTGTAAACAGTAACTAATTGATTGTGATTGAGTTATCAAATTTTGAATGCTAAAAAAAAGAAAAATCTATTTACTTGTTATGGGGTTTTCAAAGTTTTAATGAAAATGAACATGAGAATGGTTGTTTTATCAAATTGATTTAACAAAATCTAGAATTTAAGATTGGGCAGCTATCCTAACCCGTTCAATTCATTAGTGTTTCAATCTCATTAGGTTAGGTCCAATTATGTCCAAAGAACCCGTTAGACTGGTGCAACAAGTAATTGATACTCTATCAAACACTTAATGTGCAATAAATGTAGGTATGGTGATTTAACTCCTAGTCTAGAGTTTTCCAGCTGGTTAAACTCAAAGATTAATCCACTTCAGTTAGCCATACAAGACCTTGATTTACATGTTAATGCAAGAGATTGCAATAACTTGGCATAGGATTCAATATAGTAATGGAAAATTACAGCACGTAGATATCATAATTGTGATTGGTCTCTACATCAATTAGATGTGAAGAATGTACTCCTCAATGGTGACTTGAAAGAGGAAGTGTATGTGGATCTTGAGGGACTATTAGAACACAAGAGGCTAGGTAAAGAAGTCTCTTAAAGCTGAATTTGAAGTAAAAGACTTGGGAGGCCTTAGATGCTTTCTTGGGATGGAAGTCGCTAAATCCAACCAAGGCAGTGCGGCATCACAAAGGAAGTATACCCTTGATCTTTTAAAAGAAACAAGAAGATTGGGAGCTAAGCGAGCTGAAATGCCTATTGAATCCTCATGCAAATTAGATATTGAAGAAGAGAAAGAGGAAGAATCAACCTTAGATACTAAGAGTTAATTCCAGTTAATGTTGAAAGGTACAAAAGGCTAGTTTGTAAATTCATCTACCTCTCTCACACTGGTTTGGTATTAGCTTTGCTGTTGTGATGGTGAGTAGATTTGCTAATGATCCACGAGAAAAGCATATGCAGGCTGTTTACAGAATATTGAAGTACTTGAAGATGACTCCTGGAGGAGGAATCTACTTTGCTATAGGTAACTCTGAAGAAGTTGAAGTATATATTGATGCTAATTATGGGGGGATCTCTTCCTACTAGGAGGTTTACCTCTGGTTATTGCACTTTTATTTAAGGAAATCTAGTAAATTGGAGAAACAAAAGGCAATAAGTTGTATCCAAAAGTAGTGCTGAATCTGAACACCTTTTAGCCTTGGCTCATGGAGTTTGTGAAGGAATGTGGTTACTCAGATATCTGAAGGAGCCGAAACTCTAGACTAACTCACCTATTAAAGTGAGACGTGATAGCAAGTTCGCCACTGGAATGGTGGAGAATCCTATACACCATGAAAGGACCAAGCATGTTGAAATTGACAGGCACCTTATTAAAGAGAAGATGGACATAGGGATCATTGATCTAGTCTTTATAGCTGCACTTATACAAGTAGCTGACTTCTTCACCAAGCTACTAGCTAGAACACATGTTGAAGCAAGTTGGGAATGATAGATATCTATCCACTAACTTGAGGGAGAGTGTTGACGTCTAGGGCCTATAGGGCCCAAAGTCTATTTATAATTAATTTTTATGTTTTGCTGCCCCAATTTATTTAAGATTTCTCTTCATCCTCTAATTTAATATTGATTGTATTAGAGGAAAGAGAAATAGAGATTTAGATATTTATTACTGTAAGCAACAAAATGCTTAAGAATATTTACTTTGAACTTGAATAGTTAGAAACTCTGTAAACATTATAAACGGGGACTTGGGAGCAATAAATTGAAGATTTTTTGTGATACTGGATATGATATTATGGGTATAAAAGTGTTCTCAGTGCAATGAATCCATTGTTGAATTTATTCCATGAAATTAAAATTTGGATTTGAATACATTTCCATTCATAATGCCAAAGTTTTTCTGAATACACTTCTGCATCTCTACAGTAAAAGTTAAAATTTATTTTATTTTGATTGAATAGAACAGTTTTGTAGTCACCAAATGTAGATAATGTTAATCTACAAACCTTGGCTACAGCTGAATGGAATATCACTATGAATTGGAAATTCAAACTTTAGTGGTGCGGGTTGGGTAGGGTGTTGGTAGAGGTCAAGGGTTCCTCCTTATGCATGTATAAAAAGAAAAAAAAAGAAAGAAATTACAAAGTGTAGTCTGTAATCCATGACTTGTATTGAGATATCCTCTGATACCCAAAAAGCTAGTAGCTTTTCCATGCATTTAGCTGCTGAGAAACCCATGATTAGTAGATTTCCAGTACATATAACTGCGCCCATCCACTGCATATCATAGCTTCCAATCTAAACATATCATGATGTGATTGGTTTACCTGATCTGATCCTGTTTTGTATGAATATTTTGAATTGCATCAATTGCTTTGGAATAAATGTTTCTAAAGCCTGTTTGTGAGAGCCTATGAATGCCGAGCATAATGAACCATGATAGCTACAGTTTTTCCCCTTTCTTTTTGTTTTGTTTTGTTTTGTTTTTGTTTTTTTTTTTTTTTGGTGCGCGCAGGATGCTCAAAACTTGTTCCTTTCATTATCAAACTAAAGACAATCAGGGTGTCAATGTTTTGAGCACAGCTCAGTGGCCATAGAAATCTAGGCAGTATTTGCAGAATGCTATTCATTTTTCTGTGAAGGATGAATGGTTAACATTGGAATTTAATTATAATTCTGTGGGTTAGCGGAACTAAGTTTTTGACTTCAAAGTTGCTTCTAGTGAAGCGAGGTTAATTAAACTCCTCATGAGGATGAAACTGGAACTTTATTTGTTCTGTTTATATTCATTGATAGAGCCTGGAAATATAGTAGCTGTAGGATGTAACCTTTTTAGGGCTATGTTTCCATGTCTGATTACTTCCTTATAGTTGGGCACTCATAGTCTCAGTCTGGGAAATGGTTGTCTGCTTTTGTGCCCTTCTCGTTTCTAGGATCTTAATTACCAAAAGGTAAGTGTTGTCGCCCATCACTAACTGCATCTTTGTAAAGCTTCTATTCATTTCCCAGTTCATATTATCTTTAAACTAATGGAGACAAAACTAGTTAATTAAATGTTATATTTATGCATGCTTTGTTATGTCTAATGTTTTGTTGAATTCTACAATTTCTGTCAGCAGAAATGGAGCACTATGATTTGCAAGGTCAAAAAAGAGATGTGAAACACAAAGGAAGAAATGTTGTATGGTCAATTGCAATGGACAAGTGTCTAATTGAAGCCCTGGCCATTCAGGCAAAAAATGGGAACAAAGTTGACAAATGTTTCAATGAAAATGCATATACTGCTGCTTGTGTGGCTGTGAATACCCGTTTCAACTTGAATTTGAATAATCAGAAAGTGATCAACCGTCTGAAGACAATTAAGAAGAGGTATAAAGTAATGAAAGATATGCTAAGTCAGGATGGTTTCAGGTGGAATCCAAATACTAAAATGATAGAGTGTGACAGTGATGAGCTTTGGAAGAGATACATTGCAGTAGGTCTATCTTTCATCTTTCTCACTCAATGTACGTCTATTAATTAGATGCAATCCATAATCCAGTCTTCATTTATTCATTTATAGGCACATCCTGATGCAAGAGGATTCCGTGGAAAGCATATAGAGATGTATGATGAACTTAAAATTGTATGTGGAAACTACCAAGCCCCTAGTCGTTGGGCTAAGATAAAGGATGAAAGCCATGTAATGGACATAAAGAATTGTGATGATGAATCAGCCTCCTTTGTGTCTCCAACTTCAGAAGACATGAGCGAGACGGATGGAACTGAGTCATACACTGGGCCTCCAGATCATGACCAGGTGCCTGAAGGTTTCCAAGAGCCTCCTTCAGTGGATCCTTTACGACATCTTCCCAAACGGCCTCGCAGCTCTGATGCTCTCCAGGATGCGTTGATGGAGGTAGCTTCAAGTATTAGACGCTTGGCTGATTCAGTGGAGAGAAGCAAATGCTCAATTGACGCCAATGAGTTATTGCAGGCTGTGATGGAGATCGATGGGTTAGAAGAGGGGAGACAAATGTATGCTTTTGAATATTTGAATGCAGATCCAGTCAAAGCTAGGGCCTTTATGACATACAATCCACGGATGAGAAAGATATATCTCTTTAGACAGTTTTGGTGGTGGAGGTGAATGTGAACAGTGCTCGGTGTGTTTTTCCGTGTATAGAATGGGATATCTTGGAGTGTATAATAGATGTTTCTAACTTTTTTGGCCATTGTTTGATCAATCTTTCGTAATTTCGTTGATGTTTTGTTGTGAGAATGTATATATTCCAGGAATTGATCGTAATGAGTTAATGGCAGTTTGCAGGGGACACTGTTCTTTTAAAAAACTGAGAGGGAAAGCGTGAAGTTTGAACATACCGATCATTATCCATACTTAAACAGTATTAGATCACATATTGGCTTGGACGGCTTGGAACTGCTAATGACATTTAAGGCTTGTTTGTTTAAGAATAAAAAATAAATGATTTTTAAATAGTTTTAAGATTTTATGAGGAGGTTTATTTTATAGAAATTATATAAAAAGTAGACTTTATTTTGTTGAAGCAAATGGCCCGAACTAGGTGCAATTTTTTGGTTTTTGACAAAACAGGGCGAAACCCAAAACAAATGAGAATCTAGAAAGCAATTGGAAAAATTATATTTAAGGATTACTGAAAACATTCTAAAAGGATCAAAAGCTTTTTGACGTATCATTGTAGGTTTAAAGGACCAATTTGAAAATTATTTTATATGTAAAATACTTGTAATACCATTCTCTCTTTCTCTAAATCCACCCTCTCCATCGCTGCAGGCCGTTCTGTAACATCATGGAATTTAGTGTCTGGATTAAGTTAGTTAATAAGGAATAAATATGTAAATTCAATATTAATTAATCTAAGGATGGTTAGTGACAATTAATGGGCCTATTGAAGTGGTCTACTGCCTTTAGAATGGGCATGGAAGGGTATTGGGCTATTTGGGCCCAGTTAGAGGAGACATAATGCAAAATGGGCTTACTATGTGTTTGCCAAAAAATCAGATCAAGTGAGTTTGCATGCGAGAGGTCGGGGAAGAAGAAAGAAAAAGGAAAGAAATCAAGAGGAATGAAGCGGTGACTCCAGCTCTACTACTACTAGGGTATGAGTTCTTGCTTGAGGAAGATTTGAAACTCCTAATCACTTTAGATAAGTTCATTCCACCTCTCTCTTCCTCTCTACTCCATTTTGGAGTTAGGGTTTGCGGAGAGGATGATGATTTTCAGACCTTAAGACTTTTGGTTTGAACTTATTGCTTTAAATAAGATTAATGGGAGTTGTTTAAGTTATCGACTCTAATGGTTGATGATTTTGTGAGTCCATGTGTGTGGGTCCTCAAATTTGGATGAATTTGGGGAATTGAAATCATGATTTGGAGTAGTTGGGAGCCATAAATGATGATGTTTAAGTTTATGGAGTATATATGCATTGGTTGTAAGAAAACCCAAGAGATTTAGATTTTAGGTGATTATGTGTGAATTAAAAGTGTTGATAATGGGTTAGATTGGAGTTATATTGATAATTGTTGTCGTCAAATTGTAGATTAATTACGTTGTGCACCAATTGAGCTTGATTCTAGCTCGGGAAGCAAGTATAGTGGAGTAGTAACTTTTGGTATTCTAAAGGTTTGAGGTGAAAAGGAAAATATAATTTATATATTATTGCTTGATTGATTAACTATGGGTATTTGTAAACTTGTGAATATGAATTTCTAATTCAATGGATATGTTTAATTATTTTTGAAAATACATGAAAGTGTTCCTTGATTTATGAATGAGAAAATGGGCTATGTTGAGATGATGGTTAATTGTTAGAAGTGATGTTTTGAGTTTTATGAAATTGAGAAAAGATCTTTATGAAAAATGAGTACAATGATATCAGATCTTTATGGAAATGAGAATGCATGATAATAAGATATACTTTGCATATTATAATTTATTTAATATCTTAATTCAAATTTTAATATTTAATTTGTCTTAATAGAAATTTTGAAGAATATTTAGAGATAAGTAAATTATTTAGGAGATGTTTATTTGATTGAATTTAGGATATAATTTTAAGTTAATAGTTTTAAAAAAATGTTATTATTATTACCACTATTGTTATTATTATGAAATAAAAAAAGAGAGAAATTTATAAATTAAATAGAAAAAAAAGGGTGGGGGAAATAGATATATATCCGTTGGCGAGTTTGTGTGTAAGTGTGTAGGTATTAAAAAAAAAAAAAAAGGAGATGGAAGAGGAAGTGAGATTGTTGGACCCACAATTAAATAAAACAACGCCTCCTTTTTTTGTTTTTCATTTTCTCTTCCCTTTCTCATTTGCTCTTCAAGCACAACAAAGAAGAACGATAAAACAAAGCGTGCACAAGACAGTGAGAGAGATTTGATTCAAGACTTTATAATATAATTTTTTGAATGAGGTTTCAAACTTTTTAAAATTATATAAGTATTCTAAAAAATTTTATTCATCTATCCTCTTTAGCTTTTGATTTTATGACGGTGAAAAATCTATAGTTTGTAGGAGAGATGAATTATAATAAATAAATATAATTATTCATGTTGTTAATGGTATTATAAATATTTTAGAGTATTATTTTGTTGATAAAATTTGAATTTTAGCTTAGACATCTTTGAAAGCTATACAACGAAACAAAAACCATATTAGTCTTCCAAAAAATCATTAATTAAAAGTTCATTTAAATTTACCAATCTACCCTTTCTAAACACTTGAAATTTTTAAGATTTGAAATATAAAATGTTACAAAGCACACGTAGAACACAATGATCTACACACAATTTAGTACTATTAGTTAATTTACAAATTGACCATGAGTGCTAAATATCACTCTTGATCATAATTAACCACTTATTTCCTTTTATTTGATCAATGTAAGTCTCAAGCACTCCAACTAACATTTCTATCACTTCAATAAGTTCCAACACAAAAATATACCCATTTTCGCCCCTTTTTCACGTGTTAATTTAGAGTTATTTCAAGCTTACTACTTTAAAGCTTTATTACTAACCTCCAAACTAGTTGCAAACCCTTAGTTCAACTCTCGAGAATCTTTTTGTTATTAAAAGGTAAGAAATAAATCTCTTAAAACTTCCTAATTCAATTTTCCTATTACTTAAACTAAGAGAAATTAGGGTAGAATCAAAGCAAAAAGAAGGTACAAAACTTACTCAACAAATGATTGGTTGAAAGTGCCTCCCATGGCTCTAAAATTTGATGCCCTAGCATAGAGAACTCTCCTCTTCCTCTCTTCATGCTCCTTTGCTTCTTTTTCCTCTAAAAACCATAAGCTGTCTACGTACTTATCAACCAAGTTTCTATTCAACATGTGGCATAGTGAGAAAAATTCTCACCATGCTCACACTCTTTACTCCGCAATGCCATTTTTTCACTTAATCCTATTCATTCAACAGCCTAATGAGTCAAAATTCTAAATTATCATCTAAAATCCTAATCACACACTAATTTACTAATTTACCCCTAATTAGCAGTTAGTTTTTGAATTAGAAATTTATGATGTTACACAAGTGGCCTAAACAACAGTATCATATGATCATAATATTTAATAGTTATCCACAAGCACAATACTAACAAGCATGTAACGAGAAACAATAACTTGGACCATGTCACAACAATAATAATTATATGACTAAGATGCCATGACATGAAGGGCCATAATAATAATAACTATATGACCATAAGAATGATATGCGTGATTAACTTCATTCTTATATCCTTCTGATACCTTTGACTGAAATCATGGGCCATTTAATCAAAAAAGTATGTCCATATGATTAGACTACCCAAGCTTTCCAATCGTGAAATACCCAGCCAAGGCTACAACACTCACTTATAAAACATGATTTCCCCCAAAACACACACTATGGGGGTGTTGAACCTTAAATTAGCCTCCTTATGGACAAATGAAAATTAATTAGGTTTGAGTCTCTTAATAAACCATGGAATAATATCTTATAGAACAAGTAAGATAATAAATAAGAAGGGACAAGTCATTGAGCTTTGAATATCAGCCGTACCATGTGGATTTAAAATTTCTACTTCTTTCTTTAGGTGAACTCATGCCTTATAGGACCATGCAATGGCATTAATGCTCAACTCATAGTATGCACATTATCAATTTTGCATGTTCTTGCATGCAAAGTCTTAAATATCATGTTCATAGCATGCAACTCTTACATCATCAACATATCACATATCAACCACATATGCCCTCTTAAATAACACATCTAAGTACAATTGCAATTCTTAATTTTCATTCAAAATCTCATCATCATCACATTTTGCTTTTTTCTTTTACATATCCACATAATCATGTTTAATACATTATCACATCTATTTTCACACAATCATGATCATTCTCACATCTATTTTCACCCCTAAATACCAAATACTTTCAAAGCTTGAATGATGTAGGTAGGTGATTAGTTTATAATTAATCGCACCAATAATCATTAATAACCTTATCAATATATTTCTCACTCTCTATCCCAACATTTTAACTACCCAAAATTCTCAATCTTGGGTCTAATCAAAATCATTGGGTTTATTAACTAATTTTAGCTTCAACCAACTCCATTAACTCATTTCTTCTCCATTAATTGCATTTAAACACCTCCAACCACCTTATTAAATATTATTTTTTGAATATTAATGACCCCTAATAATAAAAAAAACATATAAAACCCTTAATCCTTAATTTAAATAACCCAAATAATTCTCATTAAATCTATTTAAGTCAATTAGTTCAGACCAAGTTTGAAAATCATCTTTCTATAGAAAACCCTAACTTAAAAATGGTATAGAGAGGAAGAGGAGAGGTTTGGAAACTTACTAGAAGTGATAGGAAGCTTCAATCCTTTACAAAGTGCTCAAAATTCTATGCCTTAATAGAAGAGAATATCTCCTATCTCCCTCTCTTATATTTTCTCCTTTTCTCCTTATTTTCACACCAGAACATGATCTCTTAAGTTTGATTTTTGGCTATGCGTCGTGACACATGTAGCCCACGTCGTGGTATGTGGCACAGAGAGCTCCCCTTTATGGTTGCGATCCATACATTGTGGTGGACCTTACACAAGCTACGATGCATGGCACAACAAGGCTCCTTTCATGTTCTTCCTCTCTTCTAGTACCCAACCTTACTTTGAGTCTAATTCCTAAGCTATAACTACCTTATTAACCCTTTCTAACCACCCACAAATCATAAATCACTAACAATTTTCTTAATTACCTTAATTTAACTTAAATCTTCCCTCTT